TTAGAACCTCTCCTTATTGAATATGATGAGAATGATTTAACATTAGTTAAAAAAAATATTCCTCTTAATCAAAAACCACATTGTATAATAACACATGATGAGACAATATTAGCCGCTAATAATGATAAATAAACTGAATAGGGGCCTGGAGGTTTGTGTTTTTCCGGTTAATTTATTTGGTAAACTTATTTTTAATTATTTATTTATGTTTTTTCAAATAGATGAACAAAAATTACGTCCAAAGAGACGAGGCAGGTGTATTCACATTAGTAAATTTTTATATGAACCTTTGGGACATGTTCATTTAACTGTAGAACAACATTTAGCCCACTCAGAAATTCCAAATAGATACGTTACAGAGACACTTGAAGTTGGTGTAAACTATGATGGTTATTGGAATGTTCAGTTGCTTGCTGAACAACTTAAGCGAACAATTGATGTTTTGGAAATTGCACTCCCGGGCACAATTTTTGTATTTGCATTTGATAATAGTTCAAGTCATAGTGCTTTTGTGAAAGATGCATTAGTAGCAAGAAAATGAATGTAAAATATGGTGGCAAACAACCACAAATATGTCCTGGTCGATTACCTGATAGTATATCTCAAGAAATGATTTTTCTACTTGATTATAAAAATGTGAAAAAAAGAGGAAAACCGAAGGGAATAAAATGAGTAATGAAAGAAAAGAATATTTGGGATCAACAATTAAGGGATAAATGTATTAAGTGCTCAGAAGATGAAGAAAAGTTCTGTTGTAACATGAGGAAGTTAGCAAAACAGCCAGATTTTATGGAACAAAAAAATATTCTTGAAGACATTGTGTATAATCGAGGTTATAAAATTATTTTTTACCTTAATTCCATCCGAAATTAAACTATATCGAGTATTTTTGGGTGCAATAAAAAAATATGCAAGAAGTCATTGCAATTACACATTTCAAGGGTTGCGAAATATTGTACCGAAAGCTCTTGCTTCTGTAGACGTTATAACAATCCGTAAGTTTGCAAGAAGAGCATGGCGATATATGGATGCTTACAGAAAAGGATTGTTACTTGCTGCCGCTGAATTTGCTGTAAAAAAATATAAGTCACATCAACGGATTCCTGAAAACATTGTTGTTACAAGTTAGTAAAATTGCTCTTAAGTACTTTAAATATTATTTATAATTGAATTTTTTTATTTTTGAAATATAGGTTTTTTCGCA